TAAAACATGTACCTTTGCCTACACAGAAGCAACCGCTGACCCTTTTCCCTACATGGTGGGTTCAGGATGGCTTTGCGTCAAATCTTTAAATAATGTTGCGCTGTGAAGTATTATTTATTATTTTTATTATTTATTTATTTATTTGAATAGGGACAGAGCACATTAATGGACATCAGTGAAAACAAATGTAAATATGCCGGATTGTAGCTACAAAGCTAATTTTCATCCGTAGTCCCTAGTTAAAAAATAACATATAATAAACAATACAAGCATCACAATTAAAAGTTTAGATTTTAGTGGTCACATGAGTAGTGAGCAAAGAACTGTCCTTCAGCTTCATGAGATGAGAAGCGTACCGATTTGCCGCACAGCTAACAGTATGTCATAACGTGGGGTAGATTGAGTAAACTCTGTGTTTACCTGCAGCCTGGCTAACTGGGTGATCCTAGCCACGATCTTGTTGTAGGGATCAACGATCTTTGTCCTTATCCTGGAGAGAAAAGCATGGTTTGGTCAGTGTGAACGGATTCCATTAAAGAAAGATCTGCTTCTGTTTAAACCCAGACTGTCATATTCTGGACACACATTTCACCAATTTCAGACCTTCCTGCAGGAGAAGGTAGAAGTGTCCAGATTTACCAGGGCCCTGAACTATGAATCCAATTTTTAGAATTAACTCAAAAGAAGCTTCCTAGTGAAAGTTTAACTAACTATCAACACACCAAACTTAATTTATTTTTTAAAAATTCTGAGATGCATGATTAATCTAGAGGGGTTGCTCTGGATAAGTTGCAATGAAAACATATGTAAGAAAACTGAAATGATGAAAACCAGAGCAGACCCTAAAGCGCCCTTACCGAGACTCTGAACAGGATGTGCAGATCCTGCAGATGTGCAGATGCATCATGGGATGTTAGCGGTATGGAACCCTCTCACATAATCTGCTGCTGGAAAATCAGAATCTTTAGAGAAGTCCTCCACTGAATATTTTTGGTACAGAGTTACTGTGAATATAGTGTAAAAAAAACAAACACTAATACTGAGCAGGATGGATTAAATTGTTTTATGAAAAATGCTTTGTAGCTTGTACCATTTATTCCTCATATGAGGTTTTCATTGCTATAAGAATGTGAGGTGAGTTGTTGTGTTGTAGGAATGCATATAGCCAATATGCCCAAGTCAGGAGGGGCTATGGTGGGTGTTTTCTCCCACTTTCTCTTCCCCTTTCCTTTCCACCTTTGATGCATTAAAGCTACTACCACCCCAAAAAACATTTGGTTGTGTGCATCTGGCCCTGGACTGAAACCTAACTAATGTAAAACTCAAAACAGAGGTTGTATCGACAAGTCAATAGAAAGAAAAACAAAGTTGTCCTGAGCGTCAAGTCTTGGTGCCTGATGCCCCCATCATATCGCAGATGTCATGGAGCATAAATCGATCACAGCCATAAAATAAACAATATTAATAATGTTTAGACATCATTCAACAAAACATGTAATCAGTCGGGACTATTAGAGATGAAGATCTTAAGAAGATAAGACGCGTGAACAAGGTGAAAAGGACAGGGTTTAGTTTATAGTCCGCGTTTGTTAGAGGCTAAACATGCTGGTGGGCCAACAACACTAAAAGGACTGTTTGGGGCCTTAAACATACTTAGATTTTTTAGTCACTCACCTGTCCACGGCTGCCTGTAGCGCGCTGATCCTCGTCTGCATCATCTGAAGGACACCTGCAAACACGACATGTCATTTCAGAGCGCCGGGGTTCGCCGTTTAGCAGGAACAGCTCTGGCTCCACCTTTGGGTGGATGTGAGAAACTGCAAAGGGTGAGCAGCTGGTTCCCAAAGATGAACATAATGACGACGTGAGATATCCCAGAAATGAATACAAACATAATTAAAAAGTGTGGAAACAATCAGCAGCAGTAACGTATCTGATAAATACCAACTAACATAACAGCCAATCTGCAATGTTTCACTGTCAAAATGACAATTAAACCTCACAAATGTGGACGCTTGCTTTTGCTTTATCAGCAGAAAGTTTGCAAAAATGATCACAGTTCAATGGCTTCCTGTAACTAAACAATGCTGCTACTCTTATTTGGCTGACAAAATTGTGACTATGACCAGACCGCAAATGATTGTGAAGAAATAAAGTGAAAAAGCAAATTGCTTAAAGCCCACAGACGACAAACAAGAATTTGTCTGTTGTTTGTGTTTTGTTTTGTTTAGTTTTTTTTTTTTTTTACTTTGAAGGGACTCTATCCCTGTAGCCTGAGAGAGTAAGTCTTCATGTCTCGCCACAACCTGAAATAACAGCAAGCAATGAAAATCCAGTTAGGCATCTCTTGTTTTAAGATGACTCATGTTGTATTCAAGATTAAACAAAGAGTTGTCTGTTTAGAGTGAGCACATATTCTGTTGTCCTCTGACTTAACCTTCCATTTATTTTCAGCTCCATTTAAAGCTAGAACTATTTCTTAAATGTCCCGTTTCTCTTCTTTGTAGCAAAAAAAAAAAATCATTTTCCAGTTGAATAGCTATGACTTGTGTACTTCAAAATGCATCACACACATCATTTTAAGGTTTGCTTATTTTTCGTATTGCTCCAAGTACTGGTGTATAAGTGGTAGAGAATGGGTGCAGTAGGAAAGAGTACTTGGCGGAAACAGAGCTGCTCCATGGATGACAGCAGTTACCAGTGAGCAGGTGTGGTGGGTCGGCAGGTACCTGGCTGTGCAGCTCTTTGTCCAGCTGACTGATGCCCTGTGCCAGCCTGGCCAGCTGCTCGGTGATGACAGCATGGTGGATAGCCTGCGCAGTGTATGTCTTCACATCAAAGTCGTCCGTCAGAAAATCTGTGTAGCACTCTGAAAAAGGGAGCGACACGTCCTCATTCTCAAATGTTAGCCAGCCAAGAGCGCTCTTTGTCTCTAGGCGTCTCTGAAACCCAACTGAATAGCTGCACTCTTTACCTGCTACCATAGTATTTCTTATTTATAGCGACAGCACTCATGAATGGTGCGTACATTCTTTTTTTTTTTTTCCCCTTATACGGAGTTGAATAAAAAACAGCACATGTTACCGCTACAAATTATCGAGGAGAGCTGGAAAAGTCACAAGTCTTTCATCTTAGACAATTCTTAAAGAACTTTTTACCATCTTTCAGAAGTGAATTCGTGGAAGGATCTCGGTCCTCCTCCATGTTGACAGTTCCGCCTTTGACGTCACTTACTTCTTCTTCTACGGTTTCTCTCTCGGTGGTAGAAGCTAAGTTTCCTCACTCTACAGCCGCCCAGAGGGTTGGAAGGATCACTACAGACGCCTATGGACGCCTTTCGATATGAAATTTTATGCATTAAATGCTGTTACAAATGCTTTTCAGTGTTCAGTAAGAGCTACCCTGTGTTGAATCAATATAGTATTAAATTAATCAGAATCAGTATTCAATTCATATCAGTAAACTGATGCAAAGAGTTACGATTCACTCTCACCTCCATTTTTTGACGCATTAACTTATGGGGTTATAAAACTGGCATATTAAGCCCATTTTTAACACTTTTAACACAATATCCTGAAATCTTAATGAATATTAAACAAATGTTTTCAAAGGACCCCTTATGTTGAATAACATGAATGGGCCAAGTGTACCCTCGCCCGGACGCGGGTCACCGGGGCCACACTCTGGACCCAGGCCCAGAGGTGGGGCACGTTGGTGAGCACATGGTGGATGGGCTTTAGCCCATGTAGCCCGGCCGGGCTGAGCCTGATGAGGCCACATGGGTCCCCCCTCCATTGGGCTCACCACCCATAAGAAGGGGCAAAGTTGTCCGGTGCAATGGGGAACAGGTGGCACCCAGAGTCGGAGACCATGGCGAATTTTTTAAAAGATGCCGCCGTCCTGCCCTTAAGCAGGAGCCATGGTGACCATGGGACTCTGGGCCTGTGTTCCGCAAGCTTCTTAGAACCATTTCAGATAGTTAGTAACTTTTCCTAAAATCCATGTAGAAGGAGGCTTAACTTAAAGACAATTATTGAGGACCAATCACAGAGCAATTCTTAGTAAGGAAAAGAAATAAACTCATCAAGGAAAGGACATGGGATTTAGCCTGTTGTTAGGTGTCAAACTTATGATTATGTTTGAAAAAATAAAAACACACTCAAACATTTGTGTGAAAACTCTCCTAAAGAAGTTGGATTTTGCTTCCTGAAATTGGGGGAGTATTTCCCTATATTCTGTCACACCCAGAGAAAGATGAAGACCATTTTTGCCTGGTTAGCATGGAAACACAACACATTAGGATCAAATTTGGTCTCATCCTGTTTGGGCAAAATAAATTAGTTTTGGCATTTATATTAAAAAATCTAAAGGTATTTGTACTGGTTCAGTAGAATATGATTATTTAGCAGATCTAATTGGGTTGACATAAGATCTTTGGCGCAGAAAAGGGTTTCTAAAGTAAGCTTAAATTAAATGTTACCTTAAAGATATATGATAACAACAAATATTGATCAGTTATCCTTATTTCTTCCACTCTTTTGGATATTGGCAAACTAATCCAATGTTTAAAAGTATGAAACTGAGAAAATTTCTCCTTTCTGGTCTGATCATGGGAGAACTTTGAAATTCAGAAGGCTAGTTAAACACACAATAAGGACTAAAGTTATCTAAATGGCTCATTTAGATAACATGTAGGTATCTATCTATCTATCTATCTATCTATCTATCTATCTATCTATCTAT